ATATAATATTAACTCTATTATTTTATTATCTATCTATTATTATATTAATCAATTGATATAATGATAATATATTGCATCTATTATGATGAATTATTGTTATTATTGTATCTATTATTATTATTATTTTATCAATTATGATGATTATTATTTTGCTCCTCCTCCTTAAAGGGGCGGCGTGCTTGACCCTCCTGCTGCCCGCCTCGACCTTCTACCTGCTGCTGGTCAGCCGGACGGCGGGGGCTTCCTTGCTGTCCTTGCCCCCTTTCCCGGCTTTCCGCTCCCTCTGGGACCCCACCGACCTCGGCCTGGTCCTGGCCTGGATTGCCGCACAGGCCCTCCTCGCCCAGGCCCCCCTCGGAAAGGTAAACAACATACAACAACAACAACAAGACAACCGCAAAAAGAATGCGACCCACTGAATGATGCCCTTGTCCCAAACAGGTCACCGAGGGGACCCCGCTCCGGGACAAGACCCGCCTCCAGTACCGCATCAACGGTGAAAATATTTTCACAATTTAATAATAATAATAATAATAAGAAGCTTTATTTGCACTCCTGGGGAGGGCATTCCTTGTAGTAATATGTCTTTTCTATTTTAATAATATTATATATTATTTGTATGATTGAATAATAATGTGCTTTCTATTTTTTTATAATCATGTATTTTATTTTCATGATGATTTATTTTAATCACAATTTTTAAATAATAATTGTACAGTAATAAATATTTTATAATCCTTTATTTTAATAATAATATGCATATTCAATTTTCATAATAATATATAGTATTTTTATCATTATTTTAATATGTATTTTCTCTCTCTCTCTCTATATATATATATACTTATAATAATTTATTTTACACACAATTTGTTTTTATAATACCTTTTTTGAATAATTGTACAGTAATAAATATGTTATAATCATTTAAATTAATAATAATATGCATATTCTATTTTCATAATATATAGTATTGTTATAATAATTTATTTTAATATGTATTTTCTATTGATATATTTATAATAATTTATTTTAATAATAATTTTATGATAATATATGTATATTATAATAATTTATTTCAGTAACACTACATAATATGTATGTTCTCTTTGTATAATATTATTTTAATTTTCATAATAATATGTAATATTTTAATAATTATTTTAAGATTTATTTTCTTTGGATATATCAATATGAAATTTATTTTAATAATATTTTACCATAATATATATTTTATAATAATTTATTTCAAGAACACTACATAATATGTAGCTTTGTATAATATTATTTTTATTTTCATGATAATATATAATATTGTAATAATTATTTTGATACTTATTTTATTTGGATATATCAATATGAAATTTATTTTAATTATAATTTTATGATATTATATATATTTTATAATTTACTTCAGTAACACTACATAATATGTAGCTTCTCTTTGTATAATATTATTTTTATTTTAATAATAATATATAGTATTTTAATAATTATTTTAATATTTATTTTCTTTATATATATATATATATATATATATATAATAATTGTACAATTATTAAATGAATAAATTAAATAATATATATTTTGTAATAATTTAAGACTTCATAATATGTAGCTTCTATTTTTATATTATTTTAATAATTAAATAATAATAATATTTGTACAATAATATATGTTTTATAATAATTTTAATAACACTAATATGTAGCTTGTTTTTATATTATTTTTGTAATTTAATATTTGTAGAATAATATGTCTTATAATAATTTTAATAACACTAAATAACATGTAGCTTCTATTTTTTATAATATATTTATAATTCAAAAATAATTGTACAATAATGTTTTTGTTTTATAATTTTAATAACACTAAATAATATATAGCTTGTTTTTATATTATTTTTATAATCCAATAATAATATTTGTAGAATAACACGTTTTATAATAATTTTAATAACACTAAATAATATGTAGCTTTTATTTTATAATAATATTTTTATAATTATTCAATAATAGTAATAGTTGTACAATGCAGCTTCTATTTTTATAATATTATTTTTATAATTCAATATTTGTATAATAAAATGTTTTATAATAATTTTAATAACACTACGTAATATGTAGCTTCTGTTTTTATAATATTTTTATAATTCAATAATATTTGTAGAATAATACATGTTTTATAATAATTTTAATAACACTAATATGTAGCTTCTATTTTATAATAATATTTTTATAATTACTCAATAATATTTTTATAATTATTCAATAATAGTAATAGCTGTACAATAATATATATTTTACAATAATTTGTTTTAAAAATATGAAATATGTATTTTTCATCTGTATAATAAATATATAGATATTTTTGTAATAAATAATAATAATAATAATTGTGTAATAATATATATTATTTTAGTGATGTGTATTTACATCTTCCCTTGTGTGTCCCTTTCCCAGGGTGCCATGCGCTGGGGGTGACGGGCGTGGTGCTGGGGGCGGGGCTTGCGGGGGGGCTGCGCCTCAGCTACGTCTATGACCACTTCCTGCAGCTGGCCTTCGCTGCCACCCTGGTGGCCTTTGCCCTCAGCCTCATCCTCTACCTCAAGGCCTTGGTGGCCCCACAAAACGCCCTGGCCCCAGGGGGCAACTCGGGTGAGTTCGGCCAGACATCTGCCGGGAGGGATCGCATTGTGCCTTCCCTATGTATATATGGCGGTAGAATGGGGCGGGGCTGGGTGGTCTTTAGCGTTTCCTTCCACATCTAGGATTGTATTACTATTATTATTATTATTATTATCAGGGTTGGACTGGATGACCTTTGGGGATCCCTTCCAACTCTTGGATCCTCTTATTATTACTAATGCATTATTATTATTACTAATGTTGTTGT